GAACTACAGTAACATCTTCTGATTTCTCTCAACATGGGGACAGGAGAGCTGTCAGTCAATAAATTGGGGGGAAAAAAGTAACTTGCGTTACTTATTTGGAAAAAGTAACTCAGATATTCTCTTGTAAATTAAAAAGTAATGCGTTACTTTACTAGTTACTTGAAAAAAGTAATCTGATTACGTAACTTGCGTTACTTGTAATGCGTTACCCCCAACACTGGTCATCAGCATGGGATGTGGCCAAAGGACGTACACTTCTATGCCTTTCTGTGACTCTTCTAGTCTCTCTGTGTCTCTGTTGCAACCTGCTGATGACACTCTGTGACACTCTAAGCTAAGTGGCAACTTCCTTCTGAGAACATCCCGTTTGAAGCCTCGCAATGGCCAGGTACTGTTGATCAGTTGTTAGGTGTCATCTTGGTCTCATGATGTCAAAATGTGAAGAGCATGATGAAGAGGACTGTTTAAATACAAATTGTCATTGAACCAGAACATTTAGTGGTTGATTCATGGATCAGACACTTGTGATTTTTGCGGTTAATCACCTTGTTAGAGAACAGCTTGTTATGCAATAAGTACTGAAACATTGAACAGTTGGACATGTGCATTCAAAAGTTTAGAGAAGGTCAAATTAAGTTCAGGTTATAGTGCATTTTAGGTGCATTCTGAAATTTCACCCGAAAGTCGAATATCCCTAACTTTTTGTGAGTAGTGTATATTTGTATTATTGTATATGTTGCCTTAATCAAAAATGTTCATTAACTTCAGCATTTCGTGATACTAATTCAATGTGATTTCCTCATTTTGACAGATGTATTCCAGTGAATTATTAATGGGATATATCATAAATTAAATCGGGAGAACAGACCACAAATGTGCAGTTTATGTTGTCCTTTTTCATACTATTACAGCGGAATGCAAAGGGAAAAAAAGAAAATAATTATGAGGAAAAGAATGGAGCGACTGAAAAGAGCTCTTGCCATAGATATTCTTGTTATAACATTTCACATTAAAATACCAAGCGTTACGTTATTCTCATGATGTCTGAAAATAAAACGAAGGAATATTGACAGCTCATTCAGTCAAACAGATGGATAAGCTTTTGGGGCAACCTTATGATTTGAAATGATTAGTTTCAGTCTTTTTGAACGGAAGTTCCCCAAATCGTAAGTGCCACCCATAATTCAAAACGCAGTATAGGCTCATCAGGAAAAAGATGGATATATTCAAATCTGTTGAAACTGGCTTTAGCCAGTGCTTAGCGTGTTTGGTTAACTTTAAACAGGTGTTTGCTTGGGTGTTTTTTAGGTGGATGCTGAATGATTGCTTGCTTGCCCACCACTAGTTTCTGCTATATTCTGGTCTCTCAATAAGAGTCAGATCAATAGTCTAATTTAATATTTCAGTTTTTCAAGTCACACAATTTAAGATACAATTCACCACAAACAGTATGGGATGAGTTATGTACTAAACTATAATAATGCCTTCAAGTGCATCTGTATGTTACTACAACGCCATGTTATTATGACGTCACAGATTCAAATCAGGAAAATAACACTGAAGTACCCTGAATTCAAAATGATAAAAAAAAGTATTAATTTTTAGCACTCATACATGGTATCTAACAAAAATGGCAAAATGTGAAAAGTAAGAGATTAGTTGTACACTATATATGTATAAGCTGTTCCGTATATCGTGCCAGTACAGCAGGTAAAAATGTAAATGAAATTATATTTAAAACCAACACCCTTTATGACATCACTCGTGTGTCATCTAGAATTCTGTTCAGTTTCCTACTTGTAAATACGACTTGTGATATTTAAGGGCACATAATACTTAGGATTATTATGTTTCACCAAAAAGTATGAGAAATAGTAACAGTGAAGCTTCTTGGTTTTGATAATACAGTACAGCCATCCGAGGATAGAGCACAAGAGGAGGTCCAAGAAGGTTTTGTCATCAGGTTCAGAATAGCAGTCCTGGTTGAGTTCAGGATCAGTTGGCAGTGCTCAGGTCTCTCCCTCCAGCTTCAGATGAGAGGCGAATAAGTACAGACAGATCCGATGTTAGTAAATATTAGCCTTATGCCTGCCGCTACATTTGTATGTATATAGGTTTCCTTGATTCCTTGACAAGCTGATTGCATATTCAGAGGCAGATGTTTCTGGAGTTGTTGTGCAGGAGAGTGAGGGAGAGTGGTAGAGAGGAGGGGAGGGGGGCTTCTGTCAGAGGAGAAGGTAATTGGCACCCAGGCGATGGCGGGTATAAAGAGAACGTGCGAGAGAGGCAATAGCTCTCGTCCTCCGCTCCCCCTCACCGTCTCTCATCTCTGGTTCTCTGCAGATCTGATAAAGATAAACGTGTGGCAAACGTGTCATTTGATGAAGGAGGCTCTGGGCAAACACGGGTGACATGATGAGCCTGTGATCTGCCTGCATGAGTGTCAGCAGGAGACGGGCCAGAGATATCAATCCAGAGCCTCGCTCTCACTCTCCCATTCTCTGACTCTCTCTTCTCCTGTACAATTGATAGTGCTGTTGCACATTAAAATCAGACGCATACATTTATTTATTTTATCCAAGTTCCCTGAGCCAGATCTAATTATGCCATATATTATAATAAAAGAGCATTAATCGAAAACAATGTATAAATATAGTTTTTGTTCACTGTTCCTTGCTGGTGATCTTCCTAAACCTATGGGCAGCCGAATCATTGACAATATTCAACAAACAGCTGAAAACTCATCTCTTCCATAAGCCCTAAACTGCATCCT